GGGAAACTCATCAACACAATTTTTGTTTTAAATATATATATATATATTTATATCTAAACACATAGACACAAAATAGGAAAGACTAGGCAAAACGGGAGTCCCCATTTATGTCCCAATTATTTTCTCCCTACATGTCGTTGTTCTAAGTTTTTCTTTTTCTCTCTCTCTCTCTCTTTGCTATCTTGATGCTATTTTGTTCTGATTTGTCACTATGTTTGCTGTTATCGCCAATATCTTTTCGAGGATTCTGCAAGACTTGTATAATAAAGAGAAGCATAGGACAAAAAAGGACCAACAGTAGGAGAGAGATAGAGAGAGGGAGAGAGAGATAGAGAGAGAGAGAGAGAGATAGAGAGAGAGAGAGAGAGAAAGAGAGAGAGAAAGAGAGAGCGCGGAGCATTGACTAGTCACTAGTCTTATGTCTGCCAGACCGCTTTATTCTAGAATTCTAGAAGTTGATCATCTTGAAAAAAAGCAACACAAAAGCAACAAAAGTGCAAACCAAAAAAGCACTAGCAAAACAAAGAGGTCCCTGAGGTTTCTGCACTCAGCCGGGCTTTCTGGCGGCGCACTTTTTGGAAGGGTCAGAAAGCCCGGCTGTGCATTTTTGGTTGCACTTTCTTTTTGCTTTCTTGGTTGCTCTTTGTTTTGCTAGTGCTTTTTTGGTTGCACTTTTTTTGCTTTCTTGGTTGCTCTTTGTTTTGCTAGTGCTTTTTGGGTTGCACTTTTTTGCTTTCTTGGTTGCTCTTTGTTTTGCAAGTGTTCTTTTTTGGTTTGCACTTTTGTTTTTTAGTTCTTTTTTGTTTTTGTTCAAGACTTGCTTTTTCTAGAACAAAGCCACCTCTGGTGGACATAACACTAGTCCAAGTGATATTTGTGTAGAGAAGCAAACAAAGTTTGGTCTGGGAGGGTTCCCAAAAATTCCGGCTAAGGGTGAGGGGATCAAGAAGAACCAAACAGGCACATCATTGATAAACGTGACAGATCCATAGAAGCTGCTAAGCTGCTATACCGGCTCATCCCACATTCCTGCAACGAAGCAATATGCTTAGAAGTGAGAACTTCAATGCCTCGCAATTTCCGAATCCATGCCCGCCCAGATCTGCTTTTTGTACTATTTTTAGTTTTTAACCCAGGATTTTCTGACTTTTTTTCACGATTTTTTCCAATCTTTTGCTGTTTTTTTGAGAATTCTGCAAGGTTTCCATTTTTAGGAAAGATCATCGAACGTAGAGGGACATATAGGAAAACCACTGACAACAAATGGATAGGAGTAATTACTTGTCCAAATTTTGTAGCTTTTGTTTACTATTCTTTTCTCATTCTAGTTAATTTTGCGAGGATTCTGCAAGATTTGCAAATATTGGAGAAACGGGTAGAATACAACATAGGCTCATAGGAGTACAAATAGGACCACATCGGACAAACAAATAGGACAAACAGTAAAAGGGGGTCCGTATTTTTTCCTAAATGGGTTTTCCTATTGTTATTCCTAATTTGTTCTATTTTGATTGATCGCACCCAAGTGGAAGCTTAACTTCCTCAACATCATGAACAATCAACTTTCTGCTACTTTTTGCAACGCTGGACTAATCATTACTGCTGCCACTGGCACCACATGCGACTGCACTGCTGCTGCGACATGTATTGAGGGATGCTAGTCAAGATATACATTGTGAATGATTCAGCAAAGGATCCATCCTCCTGATGTGATTGGAAAGTATGCTCCGGACTCTGTGATCGGCAAGATTGGCGGAGGTGGTGGTGGAGCAGTGGCTGGCGGTGCACCAGCAGCCGGCGGTGGCGGTGGCGGTATCTCCATGGCGGAGGTAGGAAAGCATAATACCAAGAGTGACTGCTGGGTTCCTTGGCTTCAGGGAATGAACCTGTTCGAAGAAGCAGTGTGCGCCTGTGTGTGTACAAGTGGAAGCCAGCCACTTTTTGCCCCTTGCTGCATTTTTGAGGTGGTGGTTGATGGTCAGGCGCTGGGAGTGCAAATCCGTCTCCATCGCCAATATACTATCATAGCCAATGTGAGTTATATATATATATATATCAGTTAGAATAGAAGGTTACAGGGTTGTAGAGCGCAGACTCTTTTCCACATCACACTGGGTGAAGTATACAGTCATTCCCTTTCTTTTGCAAAACAAGCAGAAAAACACGAGCAAAGGTGCAAGCGGTCTCCGGTGCAGGTTTTGGACGTTACTTCATTCCTCTCGGAGCACCCTGGGGGTGAGCTGGCTATTTTGACCTTTGCCGGTTGCTTGCAAAGAATGGAAAGACGTTGTGTTTAGCTCAACCGGCACGACATTGCAACAGTGTGATTCAGGCACTGGATAAGTTGCAAACAGGTTTGTTTGGACGTGCAACAGGTCAGGGGGGCTGACTTGCAGTTAATGCCACATCTAAGGAAAGGATGCCACTGAAGAGTTCAACATGTCCTCAACTTACTACTCTCAGTAGAGAGCTCTTTCGCTTTCCTTTGAATTCGTGCAATATCAAATGATACAGTAGTATCAATGTAGCGTGTTGAGGATTCATCCACCTGATGTCATTGGCAAGTATGCCCCGGACTCTGTGATCGGCATGGTGGGCAGTGGTGCTCCAGCCCCAGCAGCCAGTGGAGGCCTAGCAGAACCCTTGTTGGCGAAGAGCGGCCACCAGGCAGGGCAGGATGTCAGTGCGCAGCCTCGGAGTCTCAAGCACGGTCGTTACACACGGAGCCTCGTTAGGGTTCAGAGTGGAGGGTTTTGCAAAGAACGGCACGAAAGATTTCTAGACAATGTTGTTGAAATTGCACGAAATCGAGATGCAAGGTAACGGTTTTATGTGGTGCGGCTTACTAACTGTGGTATACAACATTCAGTTTTGCAGCTCGGCTCAGGGAAAGGACTGGTCCAAGTCTGAGAAGAACCGCGAATTGCGAATGAAGGGCGAGGGCAAGGTTGGGGGCTGGATTGGCGCCATTCTGTACATGGTCTTGGGATTCTTGAAAGAGGTTCTTTTCACCATTGTCCCTCAGAAGAACGTGGTCTTCAACGGTGATCGTGTTGGACTCACCCGCTCAGCCATGTTCCTCTTTGTTTTCATCATTATCCACGCAGTTGGAAACTTGCACGTCTTCCTCGGACCGGATGACTTCAACGGCTACGGCTACTTCTACGTCCGGCTGTACTGGACCGGTTTCGGTATGAAGGCCAACATTGTGGAGGAGTACATCCTCTTGGCCGCGTTGCTGCACGTCGTAGTTGCGCTGAAAAGAACGTGGGACATCAGCATGAGCTACTCTGTGGCTTCTGGCAAACTGAACCTCGCGTTCTCAGGTGTTACTTTGCTAACCTTCATGATGATCCACTTGTACCAGTTCCTTCGCAGATGTTTGAGCTTTTGCACGTTTTGACGTTTTGCGCGTGTTTTGACTTTTATTTTTTTGCAACTAGTAAGAACACATTTAAAGATGCAAACTCAGAAAGGTCAAGATGCCAGTGTTCCATCCAATTGATTCTTTCTTGCCCTGACCAAGGTTCCGTTTTGGCGATACCCATCCGTATGTGCTGTGCCCTCCACCATACCTGCTGAACTTGAAGACACTCCTGGCCTTGCGTTTGAACCTTTTCTGGGTGGACGATCCCGGCTGCAAGGAAGTTGCCGTGCGCGACATCTACCGAATGGAGTTCGAAGTCTTCCAGTCATTGGGCTGGGTGCTCTTCTATTTGGCTGCAGTCATCATCTTCAGCACACACATGTGCCTAGGTTGGCAGAAGGTCGTCCCCGCACCAGCCTTGGAAATCCCTAAGAAGTACCATGGCAGGGCCATCCACATGGGCTACATTTTCACCATTTTCATTGCCCTGGTCTATGCCAGCTTCCCCTTCTATTGCCACATTTTCAGCATGTCTGGTGGTAGCCTGAGTGGCGAGCCAGCGACACCCTAAGAGTCTAAGACCCTTCACCCTCCTAAGAGGCAGAGAAGAAGGAAGAAGATTGGACGAGTACAGCTCAGTACAGGAGGTTCTTGGAGTGATGAGAGGTGTCATGGATGGCCATATTATTTCAACGGCCTCCACACTACCTTTCTCTTGAGCCAGAACCTCCCTACTAGGAAGACCACATTTTGTGGTGAGTCTGATTGCTTCAAAATTCTCGATTGAACGTAGTCAACTCTGGCAAAGCCGGCAGGGTGAATGTTCAGCAGTTGTACTTTGGCAAGGCTCATGTTGGACCTGCCTTGCTGAACTTAAGTGAAAAGAGGGCCGATCTAGAGGTTCGAACAGAGAGAAGAAGCAAAGACGATTCAAGAAGATTGATCTGAAAACGACCAGCGGCACTGATTGACTGATTCCTTTTCCGACCTACCACGGTGTCATTTTGGCTTAGCAAGCTGGTCGTGACGGGAGAATCGTAGACGACCTTGTCCTGACGAAAAACACCTGGAAGGCCGCGCTCGTGGGAACAAGAAGCTAGTAGTAACAGGTGCCACGCTAGTAGTAACAAGTGCCACGCTAGTAGTAACAGGTGCCTTACTAGTAGTAACAAGAAGCTTTTATTTTAATTTAAACTTAGTTTAACCGTGACGGGATCGGACGCCTGCTGGGTGGAACCATCGGGACGCCGCAGCTCCGATGCGGCACAGGCATGGTGGGCGTGGTGAGCCGCCGTCTTAGAGTGAGTATTGCTTTTTTGCTGGATCAATTTAATTGAATTCAATTCTAATTCCATTTTTAAATCAATTTATGTAGCATCCTTGCTCCTAGTAGTACGGCCAGGAGCCCCTAGTAGCGATGCCCTTGTTCCTAGTAGCGATGCCCTTTCCGAGCATTGGGACTTTTGGGAGGCCAGCGTTTCAGCTACGATTATTTCACCCATGGCACCCACGGGCACGGGTGCCCCGCTGTGCGTTTCAAACCAGACCAAACACATCATACGGTCGGGTATGGTCTAAACGGATGAGATGGTCATTGACATGCACGATGGATGTTCCGAACAGGTTTTGCAGCAGTTTGGAGCAAATCCTGGATGTTGTCAGGTACAAGGATGAGTGGGCCGGGTGGGTGATGGTGAATCAGCCCGATGCCAGAGCCTGAAACCGTGTGTAGCCACAATGGCAGCACGTCGCTTAATCGTCGCTTCGTCTCGTGCCTCACATTGTGCCATCACCAGGTTGTCCAGGCCAAGAAGAAACAGGACAGCTTGCGTGGACAGCTCAAGTTTGTCTCTTTGGTGTTCCAATTTGGGTTCACAGTCAGAGCTCAGGCCTCCACACCGCTATGGCGGACATCTACATGGCTTTGATGAACGTGGCCCCTGGCCAGGTGAGGACCGCGTTTCGACATGTCCAGAGTGCATTTCGCCACCGGGCACTGCACAGGTGAGGGTGACTCGCTTCACCTCCCAGGCCACGCACACGTGCTACTAGCAGGGCCTGCTGGGGTGCTGGTCACACGCTGAAGACATATGAAGGATCAAGCCCTAGTAGCGTTCTTGCTCCTAGTAGCGATGCCAGGAGCCCCTAGTAGCGTTCTTGCTCCTAGTAGCGTCAAGGATCAAAAAGGGGTCTTGGCTCATTTGGACTCAGCTCTGGGAGCTCTTTTGGCTCTTTTGCGCTCCTCACGACGCGCATACGTCGGATTTTCAGACGTGTGACGTGACATGTTTCAGGTCCAGCCATCGATCTCGGTCCTCGATTACCTGAAGCGCATTGACAAGTTCTTTGCCTGCAGCCGGAGCCCCAAGCTGTCATAAGTCATACGTCATAAGCTTTTGTCGTCTTTTTGGCAAGGATGAATTTGAATAGAATATGGCCTTTTGGGGTAAAAGCACAAGACATGCGCTTCCCTTTCTTTCTTAGCGTAGGGGCGTAGGGGTGAATATATATATATATGTATATATGTACATATATATATATATACAGATGCATACACATATCACTTCGGCCACCATGCATGACAAGTTCTTTTGTTCTACTGAAGAATACTATTCTTGGATTGTGTATCAACAGCTCTCTGGGACTATCGCAATTTATCAAGCAAACATATCCTTGGACATGGACATGTTCCCAGCTCCCAGCGTAGACATCTTCCGCGGCGTGTTCGAAGCTGTGATCCTGCTGTTTCCTGTTTCCCAGGTGAGTCGGTTCATGTGGCTGCGTTGGTTTATTTGGATCGCCTTGCCCCATGCCTAGCATTGAGATGTCAATTTCCCCGTTTTGGGGAGAGTATCACACCATCACGGGGTAAGGTCAGCAAGAATGCGATCGACTTGAATCCATTGACGATCCATCGTTTGCTTGCGGCTGCCACGGTTCCTTGGACTCGAGCTATGTCGGAAGGACATGCAACGTGTGACACAGCTACATCTTGCTTTTCAGCTGGTTTGAGGTGGTCGCAGTGAAGTTCTTGGATGACATCTACTACAAGAACGTTTGCACCTTGGAAACTTCCACTTCAGAATGGTGAAATGTTATGCTGCGGCATGGGCACCGCAGGCATTTTATGCTGCGGTGTGTGGACTATCGCTGAAGGAGCTGAATAAGCTGGAGGTCGGCACAAACGAAAACCGCGGTCCTAGGCCATTGGCCATTGGGCCATTGTGAATCAGAGCACGATGCTTTATCAAAAGGAGACTAGCACTAGGAGGTTTGACTTCTTTGTCGAGGCTCATTTTATCTCTCTTCTGGGATGGAAGTTGGCAATTTCAGCCACAATCTGAGGATTCCGCTCGATGACAGGAAATCTCCGATACTCAAAAGTCACTTGATTTTGAACGCAGCCGAGGAGGAGGATTATGCTGCGTACTGTGAAACAGTTCGTCAAGTGCTTCGTACTGTGGCAGCATTAGCTTTAGCAGTGAAACACAGAAACCAGCTCAATAGGCGTCACAAACACCTTCCCCCAAAAAACATGAAACACTTTTCGTTACACTTTTTGTCTTGAGAAATTCAGCAATGACAACTCAGAGCAGCGAGCGTGGCAGGCTGAATGCATAGTTCCGCAGGACTCAGGAATCAGGCAGGCCCGCTTGAGTTCCAGTGTCCAAGCTGATTTACAAGTTTATGAATGCAGGCTCTGGGGGACTAGGCCCAGCTGACCCAGTGTACTTTTGTGCACATGTGTCTTTGAACCTTTGTCTCAAAGCTTGGCGACAAGCCAATTAGAGTGCGACACTTTGTGAGCACGCCTCGTCGATGTCGGCAGAACTAGCAAGAGCTTCGCCATGCTTCGCCATTCCTTGATCGTTCGCTTTAGAACACACTGGACTTTGTGGACCCATAGAACTTTTAGGACCTTGGACCAAAAGGACGCTAGGGGGAGGCCATTGCTACTAGGTTGGAGGCCATCGCTACTAGTCACAATAAAGCTTTCTAGATCTTTCTAGTAACTGGGAGCTTCCTTGGGAATCGTTTCAGCTTATTAGGTTCCTTTTGCTATGACGGAGATCGATTCGAAACGCCGGTCAGGAGATCTGATCCGAGCGAAGCCAACGAAGCTTCGCTTTTTGCGCCCACAGTGGTGGTCTGAGGCCAAGTTAGAACATCCACTTGACCGTGAATGAAAGCGGGTGTTCTGGCTGGTGAGTTTGTTGTTAGAACTTGCCATTGTCAGCGGCATTGGGCTGCTTTGCTTATCCTCAGTGCCACCAGGGCAGTTCATTGTCCATACTCTTGCAGTTGAATTAACTCATGCAGAGAGGCGAGCCAGTGCAGAAGCTCAAGAGACAATTGCAGTCGCTGCTGCGACTGCAATTTGTTTTTTCATGATGAGCGACGAGCGGTTTGTAATGGTTTGTAGTGCAAGTGTTCTTTTCGACAACCAGCTTAGTCACTTAGTCTCCTTCCCCTCCTCGCGGACAGTTGCTTCTTGCCGCCTCCTCTGCCTTCAAGTCAGTTACATCACTTTCAAGTTGCCTCGCCGAAATGGCAAAGGGATTTGTGCTTCCAACAGCATGTGGGGCACCGTTCCTACTCGATTCTGGTGAATTTTGCCGATGCAGGGCAAGGTTCCATTCCTCAAGTGAAAGCACATTTCTGCATTCGACCAGACCAGTCAAAATGGTGCTTGTACCAGGAGCGAGAGCCCATGGGTCTCGCAGAATTGCTTCAAAGTCAATGAGCTTAAATGTGTATTGGTTCCAACAAACTTGGTCTCATTCTTCCAAGCGCTTTAGAGTTTGTTTTGCAGCTTCTGGGCTCTCAGCTGTCGGTGAGATGTCGAACATGCGTTCCCGGAGATCACAAAAAGCCAAGCCAAGAGCTTTGGCATTTCCATTGCGGGCTTTGATCGAGAGGATCGATGCCAATGAAGATCCTCCTTGGGCATCTTACATGAGTCCGGCCATTGTGCGAGCCGAGCGAGCAGCGCAGCCCAAAGAAGAACTACCTAGGTTATTGGGCTCACGCCCGGAGCAGAATGATCCTCACTGCTGCAGGGAAATCTCCCTGGCTGGTCGCGTGTGGGAACTTTCCCAGGATTCCAAAGGATGTCGGGAAGTGCAACTTGCGATTGAAGAAGCTTCAGATGATGTACGCAGAGGCTTGCTTGCAGAAATCGCTGGCCATGTGCTGGATGCCATGCGATGCCCACATGCGAACCACGTCTTGCAGAAGTGCATTACTTGCTCCAGGCCTGAGGTCGAAGCTTCGACGTATGTCAGGGTTTGGATGGTGAAAATTCAAGGCAACTGTTATTTTCATAGCCATACCAGATTGTAGTTTTATGGATGTTGTGTTTGTTCGAGCAATAACAGCGTCAATGCGTTTTCTTTGTGCATTGGAGCATGCCACTGTTTGAAGTTTGAGGCCTCAAGATTGCCAGTTCATTGTCGACGAGATCATGGCTTGCAACGGTTTTGTGGAACTCGTAGGACCCCCAGAATTCAGAATGGTGTGCTGATGGCTAAATCTGAAAAATCTTTGAAGACCAAGGCAGCACGCCATAAGTATGGCTGCCGGATCATACAGAGGCCGGTGGAGCCCAGTCAAACAGCCGAGTTAAGTGGTTTTTTTGAGGAGCTGTGAAGTAGTCGAAACGTTGACTAACCGCAGAGCTCCGGGAGGCTTCTTGAGCGTTGCCCACTCCAGGTGCCTCTTAATGGTCGATGTTTGTCGCTTGACAATCACAATCTCTCATTTCATTGTATGTTTCTTTGAAGTGTTGAGTCTTTTGCAAAACAAGCGGCACACCGCGGAGGTAGAGCGCATTGCTGCCGCTATTTTGTCAGACGTCAGTGGCATCGCGCGCCATCCATATGGCAATTATGCGGCTTGGCCACGGATTCTGTGACGACACACCTCGGTTGAAGCGGTTGAATCCGTTCACACCGTTTTTCAGTTGGTTCAGCCAGGTGCCTCGTTTGTGTTTTGTCCAAACTTGAGGTCTTGCAGAATTTGCTGGAACATGGAACTCCAGCCCACCGACACAGGTTAGCTGAGGACAGGCCGAGCAAAGAGTGCGGGATTTTCAAACAAATTTCTTCCATCCTCAGGGAGAAGCTTCCTCAAAGAATCTGCGCTCTGTTCAAATTGTTGTTTTTGCGCTGTTTCTAGTAGCCGTACGGCAAGCGAAAGGATTCTGACACAAATGGCGGCAACTGGCAGGAGCTCAGGCAGGAGATCGTAGCCATTTGCCAGGACTCCTTCGGCAGTGCAGTGGTGGCAGCTGCCTTGCCTGGTCGCCCAAGACAGATCAGGCTGTTAGGCTAACTTTTCTTTGTATTGTTCCAACCCCTGTACCACACCAATCAACGATCGCAATCGCTGAGGTCCAAGCTTTGTAAAGAGGATGCGATTTCTTTGGCCAGAGCTATAGTTCAGGACTCCGATGAATTCATATTCTTTGGAGCTATTAGGAACAAGGACGCTACTAGGGGCTCCTGGCCTTACTACTAGAGACAAGGTCGACTAGGGGCTCCTGGCCTTACTACTAGGAACAAGGACGCTACTAGGGGCTCCTGGCATCGCGTTCAGGACTCCGATGAATTGATATTCTTTTGGGGCTTTCAAGATTTGGGAGTGAGTGGTGATCACTGACAGGAACAGGGACTGCTGACGTTCATGGTTTGCTTCTTAGCGTCCCCCATGACGACCTGCAACCTTCCCCCAAAAGCGCCAATGGCATGGCGGAACTGAGGCGCACGCTCGCCACGGTCATGCAGCAGTTCGGACCATTCTCCAGGCCAGTCATAGGGGGTCCTACGTTTAAAAACAAGAAGAGACATAAATGGTTCCTTAAATAAGGACCCTTCATATTTTACAAAAAAAATAGGAACCTCTCTTGAAAGGGGCCCAAACACAACCTTTCTTTCTCAGCATGAAGTCTGGAGTGTCTCGATGTGTCTCGTGTGGCTGATGCGCGTGGAGCGCGTGATGGAGCGCGTGCCCCACGCCTTACTTCACCGTGCCCCGCGGAGCGTGAGGCCCTTGATGGCCCTGACCTGGCGAAAGCCCGGGAGTTGCTTTCCGCAGAACTGCCGTCCCTCAAAGTTTCAAGGAGCGAGTTTCCGAGCGTGCGAGTGCGAGCGCGGTGCCAGCGCGAGCGGTCCCAAACAAGTCTCGGTTTGTGCCGGAGACAAGCTTTTTGCGGGTTTGAGAGGTATGGCAGAGTTGTTGCCAGCTGGATTGATACAGAGGGCAGGAAGAGTGCTGTACCAGTCTCAGCTTTAAAACATAAAGAGAAGTCGCAGCAACCTGCCGGTGTAATCTTTAGTTGCGAACCAAGCCGTTGATGTGAACAAGATGCTTTGTGCTTGCGTGCAACAGTTATGACACAAGGACATGTCGGCACATTTTTCATTGCATCCATGCAGCCAGTGTCGGCAACCTCATACAGATCCATGTGAAAAACGGTGTCAGTGAATTGTCCCCATAACGATTGTAGTCTGCCAAGGCCTATGGCAGGGCCGCCTGAGGCGGGATCTGCGGCCAAAGGCAGGGCCTGGCTGATTTGTTCTAGGCTATTTCAAAGACAAGCAACTGGGTGGCCATATTCTTGCTATCTTCAAATTTCAGATCCAATGTCTTTGCTGCCCAAAGCATGGTTCATTGATGGCTTAGCGTCGCCCTCCACATGGCCTGGATCAGCACGCCTCAGCTGTTGATCAGTTCCAGACACATGCCATTTGTCTCAGCTTGATGTCATCACATTCAAGAAGATTTTTCAGCCACACTGGTTCAAGCGCTCGACGCTCAGAAGCTCAGTATTCTGCTCATTTGCCTTGACAGACTTCACAGCCCGTCATGAGTCCTTTTGCAGTCCTTTGCCATCCGGCTTTGTGGCTCAGCTTTTCCGTGGCCAGCGCTTTCCGCCACTCCAGCGTTGAAGGAGACGTTCCGTCGATCGAATCTACCCGTCGGTTCCTCCTACGGTGACTGTTCCAAGCGCCAGGAGAAGACGGTGAAGTTCAAGTCCTGGACGAGCCGTGATGTGTTGCCCAAATTCGGCATGGAGTACGTGCAATTCAGGTACACCAAAGGAAAAGCATACACGTATGTCGTGGCCAATGTTTCATACGGTGACTGTCACAACTACTTCATGTTCTACCCGCCGGCCAAGGAATACGTACAACTGCAGATGGTGCATGACTGGCGAAGCCGTCATCGCGTCAATGGGTTCAAGCAGGAATACTTCTGCGCAATTGAAGGGGGAGCGGAGAATCCAAGTTGCATGGCACCGCGAACTGCAGAAAGTTGTCTCCACAATTCGTTGAAGAAGAAAAAGGAAAGAGTTCATGGAAAGTTGCAAGGAGAAGCTTTGCAAGTACGCTACGACAGGGAAGTGGAAGGCTACACTATTCAGGTGGAAAGCCAAGAAAATGGCTTGGAATGCCACAATAAGTGGCCTAAGCGGCGCAACCACTTTCCCGACCTCAATGGCTTTGCTGAAAGCTACGGCATGATCAATTCGGTGGATGCCGCGGGCCAGACGACTGCAGTTGATGAGGTAGGTGTCCCGAAGAGTGAGTGCTTGGAAGAGCGGGCGCGGCTTAGAAGAGCAATGATCCGATCTCGGTTGCTGTGCAACAAGATCGTCCAACTTCGATGGCTTTGTGAAAATGCATCGGTGATGGCCATCTCGACTGATGGTTGTCATTGACCATCATCAACCATCATTGATTGATTAATCATAATCATCCAGTTTTTGGGCCACGTCAAACAATCATTAGTCACTGCTGACTGAAATCACCTACTAACCATCATCAACCACTACTACCCAGTATTACCCATGATTAACCGCGACTTTGCGTGATTTTTCATTGTTGGCCACTATTGACCGTTGATCAGCCACTCTTAACCATTGGATTAGCCACTAAAACCATCATATACCGCCAGTAACCATTAGATCAGCCACTATTATCGATCATGAACCAGATGTTGCAGGTGTGCTAGCAGTAACCGTTCTCAACACCTTGTGCTGGTATATAGATACCACAAGACGCATTGCTTTCTGTTTTTCACCACATAACTAATTTTGAAGACTAAGCCTTGACCTTGCTGGTAGAAGGCATGACCTACCGTCCCTACCAGTCCAATTCACTGGTCCGACCAGTGCTCCCACCAGTGCCCCGACCCAGCAGTGAGCTGGGGATAGCTCGAGTTAGAGTTGTTTTTTGCATAGTTTGGCGCCAGAAGCCGCCACTGCGTTTTTTTTGCCCAATCAGCTTTGTGTCGAAGCACATGAAGCACATTGGTTGTTTCACAGCTGTCAGCAGGCCATCTTCCAGCCATAAGCTTGTGACCCAGCCATGAGTGCATCAAAGCACCTTCTGACAGGCTACACTCCAAGCCACTTAGCTAGCCACAACTAGCCAAGACAGCAAGGTAGAGCTAGTTTGCAGCTATATCCAGTGTTTGTTTTGTTGTGTGGGTTTTGATTTCAGGTCACCCCATGCAGGTCCAATACACGGCCTACATACCCATCATTGTGGGTGCGGAAGACTACATTACATTGCAGACAAGTATGCGTGGTGGGAATTTGTTGATTTGCAATTAAGAAAGTGTTGCTCGAAGTGCTCGGGTTGTTTTTGCATCCGCTCTCGGCGCTTGCCTGTGCAGGTCAAGGTTCGCAGAGAGACGATCTTGACTTGACTGATTGGTTGAAGCCCAAACCTACAGGGGGCAGGTGGGCGTGAAGTGGCGACACCATACAAAGCCTTAATCTTCGGGTTTCTTCAGAATGATGTGATTTTGCGCCACGCCGCAGGCTCTAGGAAGAACCTTTTTGCATGCCTCTCGGCTTTGTTCGACACCCAGCTTTCACCGAAGACCCTCACTTCGCCAAGTCGACCCTTCCAGACGGACTGAGGGCGCCGGACCGGCCGCCAGGGAGCGAGGACCAGCTCCTTGGCTTGACCAGGGAGGATTTGTGGTTAGCGACCTTGGTGGTTTGTTGTTAGGGTTACAAGCCTTCCAAAACAACTACTTGCCAGCGGTTCCAAGTGAATGGAACACTCATAAAGGGATCCTCGCAGCCAATGCGGCTGGCTTCCCTCAAGAGGTTTGGTGTCAATTGGCTTGTTCCGCTTCACCTCCATGTGTTCAAAGGCACACATTAGCTCCAATCTCCTCCAGCTGATGTGATGTTTCTAGGGACTGCCCTCCAGGTCGCCCTGATGTCTAGGTTCGAGGCTGGGCCGTTTGCTTTTGAATAGACAAGCAACACTCAAGAAGAAAAACTACAAGGAGCTGTAGTCTTGGGAAGTCTTATGCGTCACCGTGGAGAAGCTGGGGGAAGAATATGTGATTCTATTTTTGAGCAGAAAAGATGACTTTGGCTTCATTTACTGTGATTTTCTTGACCTCCGTCACGAAAGCATACACCCTGGGAGGATTTGAACTTGGCTGACTGCTGTCCTTGCTCGCCAGCCGCCTAGCAGAGATCACCAGCAACCTGCATGGTGTGGCCGCCTTGTCCTGAAAACAGACACACATTCATGGTTTGATGATACGATGCACCTAGGTCCTTTTTCGATGTACAGCTGTGGTGCCGAGAACCACACGTGCGAGTGCCTTCCTTGGGCCCTTGCACTCACCAACCTTCCCTGCGCAGCGTGCGAGTTCAATTCTGTCACAAGTTGGCAAGGAGTTTCATGTGTTTTGCTTTTTGAAAGAGTACCAAGTGGTGCAGAATGTGTTTCAGAGCCTGGATGTTGCGGCGGTGTTTTCATGGCCAACTTTGAGTTGGTCTCGGTCTTCTTGGCCAAGACCAGCTGAATTAGGATGGCAGGCAGTTGCGATAGTGACTGTGTGCTGTCTTGGCAGAAGCAACAGCCTGAACAATCTCCCTGGTGATGGCGCACAAACTGATGCAAGGTAGAGAACCTCAACAGTCTGCATTGCTCTGTAGTCGTTGCTTCTGCTCCTGGGTATAGTCGTTGCATTGTTAAATTCTCGCTGACACAAAGTCAGAGAGAAGGGCTTGCCATACAAGAAGTATCGCGCCTAGATGACTGGCTCCAGATCATCGCAGGGAAGAAAGACAAACGTGGAATGTACATCAGTGGTCGTGTTTAGATCATTGAAAAGGGCCTTGAACGGAAGCAGGAATGTTGATTTATCGGCTCTTTCAAGAGCATGTGCCATGTTGCATCCTGTTGGGTTTCATGAGTTCCGTTGGTGTCGGTACTCCTGGCATCATCAGATGCACAAGCTGGGCGCTGTTGCTGGTGGGCTGAGGGGCCGGGGCTCTGATTGCGTCTTGGTAGTCTTTGGTGCGGCTCTGCTTTTGGTGTTTTGCGGCGCCTTGCAGCTTTGGCTCCCAGCTTGTGGCCTTTCAGAGGCCATGTTGCTGGCACCGAGCACGCCAATGCTCTGAGCTAATAGCGTCAATTGTCCTCTTCTTTTTGCTTTTTTTCCTTTGCTCGTGGTTCTGCAGAGGTGAGAGGGCCCCCTACATTCTCTGGCTCGGTCCATTCCGCCATCCCATTGAGCATGATAATGAAAGAGGAATGCATCAGAGGGTTAAAAGGTTGAGAAACGCGCGTCCCCGGATCCAAAATAAGATTGGGTTGACGAATGCATGTTGCACGGTGAAAGGATGTTGACCCGTACAGTTGCTATCGTGTCAAAAGTTGCGAGCGAACATCGAATGCTCCATCAACCGCAGGATTCTTGAGTCTGTCAGAAGGTTTGACATGTTTTGACCTTGCTCCGCCAAAGTCGCGGAGAAAGGGATCACGAAGATGTTTTCCCACCTTTTCCGTCGTTTGCCTCGCCACTCCACGCTGTCTTGGGCGGGCGCAGCAGGGGCAGCTGCCGGGGCAGCGGGCACTGCCGGTGCTGTGGGAGTCATGGTGGGCAACTTCAGACGCATGGGGCGCTGTGAGGAGGACGTGACATTTCTCTTGCAGCGCGTGGTGGAGCGACAGGGCCCTGGCATCGCCCAAGAGTTTGAAGCTGGACGCGCTGTGCTGCAGCAGGTGAATCAGGCGCCTCTAGATAGGCTGTCCAACAACATCCAATGTATCGAATGACTAGGAAACCGGAACAAAGTTCTATTCTGCAACTCTTCATCACGAAAGGTAGCCCTTCAGGGGATACCTTGAGTCTAATAATCGATAGTTCAATTCAACCCCCCCACCCCTTGGAATTGATTTTTCAATACATACCCCCCCGGCGGAATTGATTTTTCAATACACCTCCCTTGACCGCTTCATCCCGAAGTGGAACACCTCGACACCTCGATGGTTATTTGGTGTTGAGCACTCTAACCTTGGGGCAGTGTTTGAGTCCATGAAGAGACATGACATGTTGTTTTCAGTGCTTCTTGTCGTTGAGGATGATCATATAACTATATATGTTGGTCTTTTAACGCATTGTCAAGTTGACGTTTGATTTGACTCCACCAACACCAGACTGTATACTTTACATGTTTTTTTCCTCCCGCTGTCCTACCTTTCGTGTATCCCTTTTCTCAAGTTCTTTTGAGACTTTTTTTTTCCGCAACTATATAGTAATTATTTGGTACTCTTCCGCAACTACTCTTCAGAAACTATTTGACGATCTTCAGAAGCTATTTCACGATCTTCAGAAACTACTTCGCGATCTTCAGAAATTATTTTGTGATCTTCAGAAAGTGTTTGCGTGCTTCAGGAAGTACTCTTCAGATGCATCCAGATTGCATGAATGGAGCATGGGGGATGGGTGGGCTTATTGACATACCCTGTGACGGCTACGGCACATGCCTATAGCATTCTGCAGAAAGCATTTCGCTCACTTCAGGAAGTATTTTGCATGCTGCGGAAAGTGTTCTTCCGAAGAACACCGTTAAAGCCGTCTAGTTTCCGAAGAAACTGCAAAGTTTTCGAAGATCACCCTTTTAGTTGCCGAAGGGAGCTATCTCATAGTTTGCTGATATGTCCATTGCATCCTCCATTTGTTGCCTTCACCAGGTGCTGTCCTCACACTTTGGACATCTGAAGCTAAGTGCAATCGATCCAGTAGCAGTCTTCTTCAAAGTCCTCGAGCAGCAGGAACTTCGAACGCTTCAGTGGAAGAAGGAGCAAGCTTCTGCGACCATTCCGGGCTTGCATGATTTGGAGGGCGATGTCCTGCTCTTCAATGATTTATTGAAGTACGCCAGATTGGCAGATGTTGCCTATGCTCCGGACGAGGACTGCCCTTCTTTTCAGCCAGGATAAAAAACTCTGCATATTTATGCTTGCTGTATGCAAGTGCTCCTGGGCCTTAGAATTTAAGGATGTCCTGCCTTATCCCCATCAGGACTTCATGAGCCAACAACTCGAAGGGGAGTGGAAGTTCTTGACTGGCAGTTCCACTGCCAGGCCGCAACGCCCTGCACATTTTCTTGCGATACAAGGGAACAAGGTGGTGCTCGCAATTCGGGGCACCCAAACCATTGCTGACTGCCTCACTGACTGTTTGTGCGATGGGGAGGTATTTCATGATGGCTTTGCTCATCGAGGTGCCACTGAGGCATCTCAGTGGCTTTGTCAAGAGTATGGCCCTGCCTTGAAGTTCTTGGAGGATGGAATGGCCAAGAATCGTGCTGAAGCATTCCCCAATCCAGGGCTCACGAATAGTTATGACATGTCATAAACATTCAAAAGAGACACCGTGTTCCAGTGTTCCAGGATACTAGTATAAAGTGTGTGTGTGTGCTCTTGTAACTTGATTGTAGTGGCCTGCTTCATGTCAAAATGTAGCGGAGCTTTTGAACGACGCGCACATAGGCCAGGCAAGAGGCATTCCAGAACCCTGGAGAACCTCTTGTCTTTAGTTATTCTCTTACGATACAGATGCTGTTCCTTGAGTGATTTGTTTGCAAGGCGAAAGGCTACGAAGTGGTCGTTGTTGGTCACTCGCTTGGAGCTGCTGTGGCTGCGGCATGCTGTGTGCAGCTGCGGAAGTCAGGGCTTGTTCCAAGTGCTCGCTGTGTTTGCTTCGCTCCACCTGCCACGGTTGATCCAACCTTGGCCAAGGAGGCTGCAGGCTACATCACCAGCGTGGTGCACGATGATGATGTCATCCCACGCCTGCAGATCATGTCTATTTTGCGACTCTACCAAGAAATTCTCTCCCACAACTGGTTGAGCGGTGCCAAGGAGATGGTGGGATGGATTCGAGAAGACCCACAGCAGAGTTGGATATTAGACATTGGTGATCAAGCCTTTGGCTTGTTGGAGACACGACTGGAATCTCATTGGAAGGAACAATCTGCCAGGTTTCGAGAGGAGTTGAAACAGTTTGAGGCACAGAGTAAAGAAATCCAACCGCTCAGCATTCCCGGCTTCATAGTGCACCTTTATAGATGCCCTGCCGGCTATGGGGTGATCAAAGCACCACCCGAAAGCTTTTCGAGAATAGAGCTGTCTTCCAGCATGGTGGCTGATCACTTTCTAGATGCTTATATAGAGTCCCTTCAGAGTGTATTGCAGGCGGCAGAAGCATCTCACAGAGAGAAGCTTCAGGCGCTTCAGCGCCTTTTGCCTGAGGGACCTGAAGCTGCTGAGGCGTTTCAGCAGTTTGCTGAAATCTCAAAATCAGTTCACGAGCTGGTCTTGAAGGCCAGATCTACTCTGCAGGCTAGACCTGACACGAGCTAGAAAATCAAGAGTCAAGAGGAGTTGCATGCCTGAATTGCTCTGACAATATCTCTTTTCCTTCAGTAGAAATGGTGACTGACAGCACATATGCCGCACATTGAGATTCCCTTGTGCCTCAGCTGAGCCTTTCGCCTCGAATCGGGGGTTTCCAAGGGTTCAGAGCCAAGAGGCAGAGAGTTCCTGTCGTGCGTTTCTTCGGGTCTCGTCTCATCTCGTCTCCAAGTGTGCCCTGTGATGCCCTATGCAGATGATTCATACCATCGTTTTGAATGGACACAACTGAGACAAGTTGACTTTTGTTTGGCTGTTTAAATTGTTTGTTGTGTCAGGACTTGCCGATACTTTCGTGATCTTTTGTGTATTTAGACATATTTGAACTCTTGAAACATGTTCTGCAAGCAGCCTGCAAGGCCTGGGTGTACCAAGCATGGGTCTCACCGTGACTCTGCCAGCGAAAGAGCAGGTCGGACGCATGGGACGAGCTCGGCGTCGCGAGCCGCCCGGCGCTGCCAGGCAGAGCTCGGCGTCGCGAGCCGCCCGGCGCTGCCAGGCAGAGCTCGGCTCAAAGTTTGTCACGATCGCATGCTGTGGGGACTCGCACACACGCGGCGGGTATCCACAGGACAGCGCAAGCAAGGCAGCCTGGGCTTGCCAACTTTTGTGATTACTTGGAAAGTAGACAGTCTTGCAGGGTTGCCTAAAGTGCTATTGTTTTTGGTTGAGGAGCTGCAAAAAGCATTGCAAAGAGCAGAGAGTAGCACGACGTGGAAAGGCGCAGTCGGTGCATTTGCATGAACGTGTTGCCGTATATATATATATATAGTATAGTTGGAATCTGTGTACATTGGTGATGAAATGTGATTATTTAATACAGTAATCATTGTAGAATCTTGTCGACTTTGTTCACTTGGGCTTGTGTCCTTCCGTGTCTGCATGTTTCGGCCAGTTCTGGACTTTGGTGCCTGCGGCGCCACAGCGAGCAAAACTCCACGAGCGTGCGCCGCGACGTTGCTGCGTTCAGCGACCGGAAGCCGCCGCGGCGGAAGTCTCCCGCGCGGGATCGGCGTTTTCGCGAGCCATGACGAGGTATGCCAAGTCGCCGGTCTTCAAGCAAGCCTTGGCGATCCAAGCCGATGTGCTAACACTGCTCTTGGGAACCAATGATGCGCACAAGGCCTTGTGGCTGAGAAAGGGCTTTCAGCGATTTTCCAGCCACTTCCTGTTTCCATCAAACAACTTGAGGTGTTCTGGAGCGAGAGTGACTTTGTCGAGAACATGACGAACTTGGTGCCTTGGAAGACATCAAAAAAGGGACCGCATTCGACAACATCATTCTGCACCAGACCAGTGGAGGGAATCGAAGCAAGGTAAGGCCACACTTGCCCCCCCTTAAGGGAGCCTTATTAAAGGGTGCCTCTGTCTCTCTCTCTCTCTCTCCTTCCTTTTCTTATTACTTTGCTGTTGCTTTCAGTCCGTCGGGTGGGGCGTTTTGGAGGTGAAGCAGATCCAAGAGAATGGTGCTGCCAGGGGGCGAGCACCCAGCATTTTTCTTGGAGTCTTGGAACTCAGAGTCGGCTGAAGTCGGTTGAGAGACGAAAACGAGGCCAAACGACACCTGCATACGACCCAAACGACACTGCAACGGCAGAAAGGCAGGTTTGAAGATGTCATTCTTTTGAACAAAGGAGCAATGCCACCGTGCCCCTTTTTGGGGGAAAAGCGCCGAGGTCCCTCCACCGCTGTATCATAAAGGGCACTTCATGGCCTCGCTGTTGAGGATACTTGATTGCGCTTTAGGTTTTAGTTTCATGCTTAGTTTCGGCCCTCAATCACTTGTTTGCTGAGTTTGCCTAGCAGTTTGATGAGGCAGAATGTGATCAATCGAGAGCTTCCTAGGCCAGGTCCACAAAAGAGAGCTGTCGGTCCGCCCATGTGACACCTGTGACATACACAAGCACCAGACGAGCAGTTTGGTTTTGGTAGTGCTGCCCACCCGTTGCTGGACTTGGTTTTAGCCGCTGCCAGGATAATTCCCCAGTTGGCTGAAGAGCTTGGGGTGGGTTGCTTTGATGCCTTCTCCGCACTTGGAGGCAAATGATCCTACCTGTACCACCAAGTGAGTGAAGATGTGTCCATGAATAGCCGAGTTGGAGCTGATTGATGAACAATGCTATATAGTCAGCCAGAATCCCCCCGCTAGGGAGCATTTTACCTATTTGGTCGTTCGCCAGACTTGTAACAGACGGCAGATTTGGGAAGAATGCTCCGCAGGTCCCAAGCTGCAGATGCCCAATTCCATGTCGCCAGATGGAGTACACCTCAATCAGGTCGACTTTTCCACGATCGGGCGAAGAAGACTCACAAGCTGGCGTATGTCGATCGTCCTTGACAAGAGGAAGGAAACGAGCAGCAGTCGATATTACACGTTGCAGGTGGGTAGACGACTGCTAGCAGAAAAGCTTGCTGAGCAGGCCGCATTACAAGAACAAAGACTGAACAACTGCTTTGAGCTGATATCTGATATATTAACATTATCATACATTATCACATTCTGCTTTCTCTTCTGACTTGAGGATTTAGCTGCTTGTTTGCTGTCCATTCTTCCACTTGTCAATGTAACACCCATGCCTGTGACTCACCTATTCTCCATGCTCACTTGGAGGTCTTGATCCACCAGGGCTTGCTCAGTCCAGAAGAGGACTGAGACCCGAACCAACATGAACCACTTGAACCAGACACGCCCGAAAAATGCCCAACTCGCTTTTGGACGCTCCGGAGGCGCCCGACTCGCCCATGTCCTGCTCCAGCGAGTCGACCATGGAACACTCTCCGTCCGGAGACGTAGCAGAGCGGTCAGACGAAACGGCACGACGGACACGACGAAATGCAGGAAATCCACCAGGACCAACCGAGGTGGGCAAAAGATGTAAACAGACGTGTAGCAGTGAAGGTGGGAAGGTGGGTGATCCAACCAGTCCCAAGAATCTCTAAACGCGTGCCTCTAGATCCACGGGTCTTCTACTTAACTACTGTACCCCTTCTTTCCTCCAAGGCCGGCAAGACGGCGCCGAATGACTTGCAACCACTCAGTGACGCGGTCGCGTGCTGTGCGCCAGACTTGCTGAAAGTCTGACAATCTCTGGCCAAAGCTACTAGGAACAAGTGCATCGCTACTAGAAACAAGTGCCTTACTAGTAGTAACAAGAAGCTACTAGAAACAAGTGCCTTACTACTAGTAACAAGTTAGGAATTTAATAAGAATTGTAATTAATAGCTTCTTGTTACTACTAGTAAGGCACCTGTTACTACTAGTGTGGCACTTGTAATTACTAGCAAAGGAATCTACTAGGACCTTTCCTTTTGAATTTGCTCGGCCTTCGGTGGTTTCATTGGAAGCTCCGGTGTCCCAGCAGGTGACACTTGGCAGAGGCCTCTCTCGCTCCGATGCTGCCAGCATGCTGAGTGACAAAAGGACCAGCAACCTCAGATTGGTCGTTCGCCACAGGCACTTTTTCCAAGGGAACAGGCGTGACTTCTGTTTCCCAAAAGACGTTTTTGGATGATTCTGCGAGAAACTCACAGAGTGAGGCCTAGACTTGGACGTGATCTGACAAACTTGGCTCAAGCACGTTTCGGTGGGCTTCGCGGATCTATTGCAGCCCTCTCACATGGGCGTTTTGAGGGTTCAGGTGCGCAAGGGAATCAATTGCTCCTTAGCGTCCATGCTTACGTTGATTTCCCAGGCTCCTTGCGTCACATCGCAGGCTGGGGAGGAAGAATGGAGTCATTGACTTTTGAAGATTTGAATCTCCCAGGCAACATGAGCACCTGCATCCAGATCATAGAGGGCATGGTGCCGGGGATCAACCGCCTAGCACCTTCAGTTGCAAAGGGCGTGCATGTGCTGTTGTTTGGCTTCACACACATACACCACAAGCTTATGTGCCACCCCTCAGGCGCTGAAGGGCCACATGGAACAGTTTGGCCAGGCGTGCAAGTTTAAAGCAAGCAGTCGATTCAAACTTGCTATTCAAGCAGTCCGCGTCATGCTGACCTGGCCTCCACTTCCAAACACCTGCACAAGTCCTCGATCATGGTTCAAGAATGTTCAAGACACTCATGTTGAACTTATGTTGCTTGAAGTATCACTTGCGCAGAGTGGTGACCCGTGCGTCAGACATGTCCTGCGAGCAGGTGGACCTGGTACACATGGGCAATAGACAAAACCCGGAAGAGGAGCCGCCGAAGGTCTCATGTCGAACAGTTCGGCATGACGTGTCCAAGGTTTGGCACACTCTGACGCATGACACACACGTATACACAAAGTTCAAATACATTGTACTTTCAATGATATGCCGATATGCTGTGCTACCAGCAATATTATATGCTTATACTGAAGATTACATATATATATGATATAAGTGAATCTGAAGTGAAGATGTCAATTCTTTTTCCGATTGTGGACATGGACGCCTTGAGTTGCGCCACCAGAGGTTCGCTTCTCCACCCCTGAAGCTGCCCAGAGGGCACTGGATGCCATAAATGCGGGACAAGTCGTCATAGATGGCATGCTGCTGAAGGCCAAGCAGAAGAAACCACAGAGAGTTGTAGAAGCTCAATCTTGGAAGACCTGATTTTTTTCTACAGTCAGGCGCAGTACATGCAAGGCAAGGGCAGGGGTAGAGGAGCCCCGCCCACAGCCACAGAAAGAAATTTAGAGGTCACTAGCCTGGAACCCAGATGCTGGCCAAGCATGGAGTGCACAGCAAGCATAGACAGCCCATAGGCTGGTTTCATGCATCCATGGGTGCAAACAAGGCCGTGATCTGTTTCTTGAGCGTGAACGCGCGAGAGCACAGCAGCGAGAGCGAGGCACGAGCTTTGAATTCCATGGACTGTTTGCGTCGTTTTGTCATGTTTTGTCAACTTTCCGACCTTGGATATCGTGTGAAGTTTAGAGGAGCGAATGCCAAGCAAACTGAATGCCAACACAAGAACACCGAACACCATGTTTTGTGTTTCCCTTGTGATTCTTTTCCAGGAAAAGAACGAAGTCGCAGCCGCGACCGTAGCCGGGGCCGCAGGAGGCAAGGCAGGGTCACTAGGCTCTTGTTTGCAGGGCTTTTTGCAACATGAAGTGAGTATGATTTATTCAAGTCATTCATGCTTATATATCTTATCTACACTGGCATGTTCCAAGCCGTCTCCAAGGGAATTTGGACAATGAAGTGTTGTCAGGGCCTTGCCATGACGCTCCTTTTGATTGGATCTTGGATCTCGAAAAAAAACACCTTAGAATCGTTTCCTTGGTGCTGGACGGGGATTTTCGCCAGCGGCTGCCATGTGAGTTCTCGTGTTTGGCTGCCTTGGGAGCTCCTGGCATCGAACAGCGTTTCGCCGCAGGAAGCGGTCCAGCAGCAGCCGGTCACGGCGCCGCAGGAAGAGCGGCAGCCGAAGCCGAGGTCGGAAGAGGTGAGTTCGCAGGCTTGGTCGCGGCATGAAGTCCTTCGTGCCATTTCGTGGCTTGAACATTCTTGAAATCCATGGGATACATGATACGATACTTGATTTTTCCACGATTAGCAGACGCCGTGTTTGGGAGATTTGTCGTGCAGATTTGCAGATTTGAGTTGTCACCTCTGAGATCCGAGTCATGGAGCCGGAGATCCCGAAGTCGAAAACCGGCCGGTTGGGATCTTGGAGCCTTTTACGCATTCATGCAGAGCAGAGCAGAGCCTGCGAGGCTGACACTGCGGAGCTTTTGAGCCACTCCCGCCAGAGCTTATCGTCAATTCTTTGGAGAAAACATCAAGATGCTTTAAGCAACTGCGAATATGTAGACTGAGCTTGTTTCATATGAAGATCTATAAAGCAATCCTACCAATCCTACCAACCAAGCAGTAGTGCACACATCGTAACTTTCGCGACATGTCAGCAGCCACAGATTGTGGGATGAGTTCCACGGACTTGGGTTGTCGCAAAAATCGCGACTGGACGGCTAACGGCTTAGCCATGGTGACTTATGGGACATAGCGACTGGAAAAAGTCTCCGAGAGCGTTTTTGTGAGTTGCTTGGTCAGGGGAAACGCTTCGGGAAGTTGAAACATAGACTGGACTGTGCATGTGTGGTTCAATCAGGACTATATAGAGCTCTTCTGCACAAGACTTTGAACTACTCAGCTTGATCCTGATAAACTATCGCATTTTTGTTGTCCAAGCATGCCCTCTTTTGTACAGGGTGTCCATCATGCGTGGGTTCGAGCATCCGACGCTTGGTTAGTCCTATTTGTTCGCCATGGCTGTGGTGAGTGGAGTCGGAGACAGAGAGCTCAGTGCAAGGCGCCTGTAGACCTGGAAAGACAAGAGGCTACTAGTTACTAGTAGCAAGGTGCCTTACTACTGGGAGCAAGAGGACGCTACTAGTAACGAGGGCATCGCTACTAGTAACAAGGGCATTACTACTAAGTTACTAGGAACAAGAGTGCGTGACTCCGCCAACATGGCAGGGAGAGGAGAATGGTCCACATGACCTCCAACATCTTTGGTGAGGGCTTGGACAAGTCGGTGTATTCAGCGAAGGTGCAGAAGGTGTCTTTGACGTGCAGTCCTTTTCAGTCGGTGTGTTTGTTTGTCCGATGGGATTGACATGGCATTGTGTCCTCTAGGAGTTGTTGAAGAGCCTCAAGGAAACCTTCAACTATGTGAAGGAAGCACCGATTCCAGAAACATTAAACTTGCCCAGGCGCCCATCTAGACTTGCGCACAGAGTCAAGGTCTGCACATTTCACCTGGTATCACCTAGCTGTCAGGGGTGATTGGTCGTTGTTTTCTGTTGATAATCAGCTCCCTGGCCAGTGCCGCGGAACAGAAGAAAAAGCTGATGGCCGGCAATCAGGCAGTGCTGCCTGGGAGGCACGGTTCTATTCAGAAAATGGATGGTGCTTTGCACATTTGAAGTGATAAGACAAAGCACAAACTCTAAAAGTACATGCAAGCTTCCATGCCGGAAGTGCGATGCGACGCCAGTACAACCAATGGACCAACAGCAGTGAAGAGGGATCCGGAGTTTATGCCAAAGGAAAGGGCTTGCCGCAATTAAATATTTTGAGCCGTGTGTTCCATGTTGCTTTGATGTGGAGCTACGATGGCCTCATAAGAAATCGAAGCTGCAACAAACGGATCTTGTGAGACCTTGTGAGCACTTGGTGTTGCATGGTGTTGCCATATTCTTTCGATCACATTCTTTCGATTTCAGCCTGTGGTCGACCGAGCTGAAGGAGTTTTGGTCGACCTCTGTGGACCTGCAGTGGCATGATGCTGGGAGTCCGAAACGGATATTCCGGATATTCGAGTCGCAAGGTGAGGAGGGTGAGGCCATGGTCTGCCTTATGTGGCCCAGAAGAACGAGCACCACTTGATTGAGTCTTTACTAGGAATGGGAACAACCTTCACTAATTAGGAAGGATCGTGTGAAAGTAAGACTTTGGATGCTGGATTTTCTTCTTCTTCTTCTGCTTTCAACACACTCCCCCCCCAAAAAAATGTGGAAACAGTCGCCAATTGTGTTCATCCCTCACCGGCGATTCGGGTTGTGAATCAAGCCAATTTGTTTGACATAGAACAAAGAAGCCTTTGCAAGATGAGAAAGAGATAGTCCACACAGTTGGAGTGGGTTGGTTGCTCCAAGATTGGCTGTTGTTGCCAGTTGTTGCACTCTAAATCTAGCTGCTGGTGCACTCTGCAACTAAGCCCAAATGGGGCCAAAGTGCTTTTGACGTGTGACACACGTCGCTTAAAGACTGCACAGTTCAATACCGTGGATGTTTCAGCCGCAGGTTCCAAGTGTTTGCATTACCGGTTTAATCAATGTGTTGGTACTTTTCCATGTTCCTTGTGTTGCACCATGATGGAACTGTCTTGGCCCACGCAACAACACCAAGTGTTCAGTTTCCACCTCCTGGTTCATTTTGTCAGGACCTCTAGCTTGAACGCTCTGTTGTCTCGTCTTCGCCCTACCCGTGCCCACGCACGCCCACACACGATGTCCAAGGTGCGAAATGAGCGCTGCCGTCACAAGAATCATCAAGCAGAGCGAGGTAGTTTGGGTGCCAAGGCCTGATTTTGACTACAAGATGTCTTTTGTGAACGCTTCCTGAAGATTTTGTCATTCAGACCTTAAAGCTCAAATGAGAGGAAAAATATCTTCGGGAGATGTCCTCCGAGTTGTTCGAAAAGGCGCAGCCAAGCTTGGGAGTGGCTTCTTAGATTCTTTGTCTTCCATGGCTCTGGTCGCCAGGATCGACTGATGACGGCCTCAGCTCCCAGATCGGATCTGATTGGTCAGGCGATGTCTTTGAAAGGCTAATTTGTAGCTGGTCTTTTCAACGGGCAGGAGTTATGCTTTTCACACGACCCGTTTGGCAATCTCATTTTAATCTTTGATCTCACCTGCAACTGTTCTGATCCCCATGTTTTTTGTTTTGTACAAGACTCTAAGACCTTTTGTGAATCTTCACGCCGGCACAACCGATGGACTTTTTGCAAGCTAAAAACAAACCAATGGCAATGAATGGAGCCGGACCTCGAAGCTAGAGCCCTGAGCATAATGTCCACGGCAAGAACCACATCAGCAGATGGGTGGGTGAAACAATGTGAAAGACCCAAACCGCCCAAACCGACCTTGTGGGTGACCATCCCCGGGTAGACGATCGAATCCATAGTTTGTTGCGGTCGCCTGCATGTTCACTCGCGGTTTAGACGATGCGCCAGACCGACTACCTCACTCTCGACTCCGCACTCCATGAGCGGCACAGCTCCACCCGAACGTGGCGGCCCAAGGGTTTAAAGTTTAAAGTCCAATGAATAGTCGGATAGCATCAGATAGTCTCATGTTAGTCACATGCTATCACGTACGATCACATGTAAGTCACATATTAATGGAGAGGTATTCATATTCACAACGCACACTTGGGAATTTCCCAATGAGCTGTCCCAGTCATCCATTTATTAAAGGTGTTTGAGCAAACTAGGCCGGAGAACGAGCGGGCTTTCGCAAGCAAGAGGCAGGTATTTCCATGATAGTTCCCGTTTTCTCAGTAGGCCGGCAGGATAAGTGTGAGCCCAATACGAGCCAACTATATGGAGCTAGCTTTGGATTGTGCGGGAAGCGAGGGAAGTCCAATGGTCAGATTCATAGACATCATCAATCTCGAGCCCCGCTTGCAGGGTGCAAGCAAACTTAGCGTCTTCGGGAAAGAATACGCTGCCGCAGCCCGACATTGATGTTCAGGTGGGATCACATATCTGTTTGACGGGGATATGGTCGAAGTAAAATCTGCACTTTGATTGACAAAACAACAGCTTGACTTGCACTTTGTTTGCTCGCCGGCAATTTTTTTTTGCATTTCTTCATGCGGCTGTTTTGTTGTTTGTTCCAGGCGCCGCCACCGCAGTCAGACTCCCTCAGGCACGGTGGTCTGGACATTTGAGGTTTCCACTAATCTGCCGGTCTGAAGGGCCGGAGGGCTTGGCCTCAATTCGACTGCTTCTGAGCTGCTGCTCCTTTTGCTACTCTTACTGCGACATGGACTGCTGGTGCTGCTACTGCGACTGCTACTGCTACTGCTCCTGCTGCTGCTACTGCTACTGCTACTGCTACTGCTACTCCTACTCCTACTCCTACCACTACCACTACCACTACCACTACGATTACGACTACGACTACGACTACTACTACTACTACTACTACTACTACTACTACTACTACTACTATCAGTGCTACTGCTGCTACTGTTTTCTTTACTACTTTCTGCAACCAAATTCTACTACCACCATCTCCACTATCAAACACTACCATCGCTTTTTTAAGGTTCTCACCTTGAATGCTCCAAGTTAAACCTTCCTCTTTTTTTCGGTTGTTTGCCAAAAGGACCAGTGGCGCTGACATGCGGAACTTTTCAGAGCTGTTTGGCACCGAGTTGGGTCGACGGACACAGCCGATCACCGAGCGACAGGAGGGGTGTTCTGCTGTTTCATGCTGTTCTACCACCCTTCGCAATATTTTTCTTGTGCCTTGAGAATGACATTGAAGATGTCCAAGTCAAGAATCTTCAGAAATGAGTTTCGGCAAGCTGGTGGTAAGAGCAGTGTCATCCTGCTAGGATTTGTTGGGCACCACGAACTGCTCATTCCTCGACTTCCGCAACGAGATCGAATCTGCTCGCAAGGATCCAGGAAGGCCGGGATTGGAAGCTGAGGAGTTCCCTTGACAATCTGATCTCGGCATGTTAGGCATCGGTGGTGTGATTACGACGTTTCACATGCACGGCTTTTCCACAAACGGCAAAATGAGATGTGATACGTTACATGCGTTTGAACAGGATCGCCCAGGCGGATTCTCCTCGAAATAGAAAGGAGGCAGGCAACCGAGTCAGTGAGTGGTGTGTCTATTTACTGTACACTGTACATTTTACCAAAGACTAAAGAATCAAGATAATGGAACAACGGTTCAAGGAGTTTTTGCTTGCCTTGGCCCACATCATTGTCCATCCTTTTGAACATGTCATAGTCCATTGGATATTCTTGACTGGGTAGATTTGGGTAGTCAGCAGACAAAGTTGGACAACTGCTGGAGATGAGATTCACTGTTGTTCACAATCACGCAAAAGGGCTCTTGCCGGGCTTGCCAGTGTTTGTTTTTCCACTGTTAAGGTGGCTTTATGTTTCAATGTAGATGGGACAATGTGTGAAAGTTCAACAAGTAAAAGCATCTGACAGGCTGAGATGTCATCGACCATGGGCCAAATGCCCAAACCCACCAAAGCCCCCGAGCTCCAGCAGGCAAGGGATTTGCCTGTCTTTGTTTGGCTTGAAAGGAAAACCGGAGCGAAGTGCGCAAGACACAAGTTCTTGTCACAACAACATGACTCCTTGGGCTGCCATGCTTGCTTGTTTTGTTTTCGTGACTAGCTGTATAATGTTGGATACAATTTTGATGAAATGGTGCAATGAAGAGTGGAGTTTCTTGCAGACTTTGAGGCTCTTGATGTAGAGCGAGGCTTCTGGGACAGCAAAGATGGTTTCGGGATCTCTGCAGAGGTCTCACGTTTTCCCGGCACATTTGGAAAAGTCGTTTGCTCGAGATTCATCGTGAAGTGGCCTCTCGGATTTGCCAGGCCGTCGACGCGAGAAGGACTTCCGCAAGGCCTGACGTCATACGGAAGAGCTGACGAGTTCTGAGCAGATGTTGCAAGATTTGTAAGATTTGACTGTATGGAAGGACGCTATTAGGTGGAGGCCATCGCAAGTAGGTTGGAGGCCATCGCTACTAGTAACAAGAAGCTACTAGCAGCTATTTGTACGAGTTCTGAGCAAAGATTCGGATTGCACAAGGGCCAAGAATCGCCGGGGACCACATCCGACTTATCAGGACTTTGAGGGCGACGTGCACCACCTCTCACGGAAGCAAGAATGCCTCGACTCGGCGCAGGCTTTGCTGGCCAAATGCGTGTGAACACGCTGTTTGATGTTTACTGTAAGTTTGTTTGAAAATGCGAATATAAGGTGAACACCAGCTCCATTGTTTCAGGTGAAGGGTAACATGGGTCAAGATTCCGCACGGGAGGCCGGAATTTGTGCTAGTGATGTCGTTCGCCTTTCATTCGTTGTTGTGGACGTACCAAGATTACCAAGATTCACATGGGGCTGTGAGGTGCCCAAATCTGCTCGAAATGGGTTGGGTTCTCAGAGTGGGAGCTGAGAACCAAGACTTTAGGTTGTGGACTTCAGGACTACCGCCTACTCCACTTCAGATCTTGCTATTGCCAACAAAAGGATGCTTTTCTTTGCTACCCCATGCTACTAGAAGGGTTCGGGTCTTGGCTACAACTACTGTAGTGGTAGGTTCTTTTTCTGACATGTTGTTTTCAATGGTTGTTTTTGGGGGGCAAAAGATGTGTAGAACGTCTTTCATTCATGCTTTCGTCTATTTCTTGGACCTTTCCGTTTTCCTTTGACTAACCAACAAGAGCTTCACATTTGGGCCCTAACAGCTTGGCTCAGAACCTGAGGCTCCGTCTCTCCAGCCCTCACTCACCTTGTAAGCACTCAGGCACGCGATGGAATTCGGGTCATGCTTTTCACTCATTTGGTGTTAGTCGGGGGTTTGTTTTAAACAACAGCATGCAATTTCTTCTGCTTGGTGTTTTGCCTTTAGATTGTTTTGGCCCCGTGCTTGCACATGGGGCCAAATGATCGAACACCCGAGTGTGAAGAATTTATAGAGAAAACAAGCAGGATTTCGTCTAGAATCTTGTACGAACTTGGTCTAGAATTTTAGAAAGCAACCGTCCACTCTGTGGGTGAAATCCAACTTGTCGACTTGCACTAGCCAAGGGGTGAGCGCTGCGCAGAGGGAGGATTTGTTGCGTCGGGCAAAGGACAGATAGCTCAAGTCGAAACACGCCTTGAAGCGTTCGTTGCCAAGGGAGCTTAACCGATCGTAAACGGTGTTCGCTGAGTTTCCTTCACATCCCCTGCATCATAGCCCCTTCAGTGTTCTTTTCCAATGATGCTTTGCTTCTGACATGCCCTTGTCAAGTCTATTTCAAGGACACTAAATTGGCATCCTTGCAGTGGCAGCCTCAGAAACGGTATACAAAAGCATGATATACGGAGAATGATCAACACACTACTGAATCCGCCGGACGGGTTCCTGTTCCGACTCCGAGGTCCAGTATCTTCAGCTGAGGATGAAGGGAAGTGCCAGTCGAATTCAAACGGAGCATGGCATAACAAGAAATGCCATTGCAAAGCTGCGGAGGGGCTGCCAAGCACCGATCGTCACCAGGAGTTGAATGCTTTCCGAAGGCGATGTGAGCTTTGCCCATGATAGGGTAGGACTTGAAACGGCGGTAGAAGGACAATGCCAATGGCTGCATGTGCCAACGTGCACACTTGGATCGTGATTAATGCTGGATCAACCGGTGATTTCGATTTTCTCACATCGGCCAAACAATTTGCAAATATTTAAAGAGGTTGAGCAGGAGGGGAATTTGTGAGAAAGTCGCTAGTTAGCTCGCTGCAAAGCCCAGCTTTGTTTCGACTTGACTGGAAAAGTCTCATCAACTTCCTCCAGCAGATGGGAGTGGGAACATGCGCACTTTTGCCCAACGCGATCATCAATGCCATGCTGCTACACCATGTCCATCCATGTCCTATATCCTCTTGTTTGCTTCTGCTCAAGCATGAATTGGGCCTCTTGTTCTCATGGGATTAAAGATCATTCAGTAAGTTGGCAGAAAAGCAACGAGTCCAGTCGTCCATTCGTCACAGATTCTTCTTGGATAAACTTCGCTTGGCCGCTTGGCTGCTTGGCTGGGCTGCCTGGAACAGTCGGCGCCATGGCCCGTCAGATGGTCCGGGAAGCTTTTGTGTTGCACCGCAGAGTTCGCTTCCTGCGGAATTTGCCAGGCGAATTTTGCCCGGCTCATGGACTGCGTAGTGTTCACCACGTTCCTGATGTTTGTGAGTGGTTTTGGGCTTTTCTTGCTTGGACCCCAGACGCAGAAGGCTCCTCAGAGAAAACACGGTGACCTGTTTGGAAGCAAGGCTTGGGGAGCTCTACAAGGGTGTAGTTCAACGAGAGACCAAAAAGCTCAGCCAGATCGCCAATGTTGTGGTAAGGCGAACGGCGGCCGAATCGGGCCGAGGGCTTCGGGGATATCTATGTTTGATCGTTGGGCGAAGTTCTGTATCACAAAGTGTTTGATGGGAACGGCCGATGAAACAAGCTCATTTGCACCAGTGTTGCTGAAATGCAGGCTCTTCCCCTTCCCTGACAAGAAGTACGAGCAGCAGACTCAGTTTCCAACAAACATGAGACAATATTTGTTGTGCTGATTCATTGAAGTTGGCATGCATTCAGGTTCAACTTGACTCACGTGGTGATTTTCTCCATGCTAATCGGCCTACTTTGCATGTTGCACCATCCTGCGCAGGAAGTAGAATCGAGTTATTTATGTCTGCATGTTGGAATCTCCGTGCAACTAGATGTGTACAGACGTCGGAGCAGCTTCGCAGGATATTATCCAACATGAACTTGAGAAGGAACAAAAGGCTGGAACCTCTTGGCATTGTCCTTTTGTGCTGCATCGAACCTTTCCTGCCAGAACAAGAAGAAACGTGAAGAAGCCGAAAAGAGGACTGCCAAGATGTTGAAAATCATTCATGAAACATGTTCACAATTCAAAATAAAATTGATAATTTTTCTACGGAGGAAGAAGAAGGATGAACAGAAATCAAATGAATAATGCAATTATCAAAATATATACAAATAGAATATATATATATATAAACAAAAATATACAACAATTTAATTTATACTAATTGTTTTTTATATATATATTTTTGATATATATTATGAAATATTTGTATATTTAAATATGTATATTTTTGTTTTTAATGTAATCTTTTAGTTAATGTTATGAATATATTTTATAAAATAATTATGGATTTTGTTTTATGTCTTGGATTGAATATTAATTATTATTTGTATATATATATATAGATATTTGTATATATTTTAGGTTTAAATTGGTTTAAAAAAGAGGTTTAAATGGGATTCGATTTTAAAGGTTAACGAATAAAATCTTATTGATATGTTTAAAGAGAATTTGATTAATTTTTTAACTTTAATTAAGGGATTAGTGGAAAGGGATTATAAAATCACAATTTGAAATTGAGAAAGATATGGTAATTAAGCTTAAATAATATTATCTTACGAGATATTTTATAGAAGAAGCAACAATTGTAATAATAAATTGACAACACTAAGAAATATTATTAAAAGCTTTTGGACGAAATGAAAATTTTGCAAAGTAGATTGGAACAAAAAAATCTTTTTTATTTAATATTATTAACACGATATATGGAAAGCCTTTGCAACCATTTGGCTTTATTAACACTCTTGGGATTAGCTTTATTAAGCGTCTTTCGATTGCTGCGCTTTGGATGCAGATTCGAAACGCCGCGAGACGGAAAACGGCAGTCCCGGATCGTACGGGTAGCGCTTTCACTTTGAGGCCCTTTTTGCGGGCCTCTTCTCTTGTTATGGGTAAAATATCATTCACTTTGGATTATGATAGGGGATTTTAACAACCAACTTGTAGGGAACATGCAAACTTGGTTGACTTTTTGTTTTCAGGCTCAAGCAAGGGCCGATTTTCTCCTTTGGCGGGTTATGATCCGTGCAGACGTTCTATGAAACGGAAGATGAAATCAGATCGGACATTCGATCGTATGCAGGTCCGAACTTGTGACTTCGCACTATGGCTCAAGCCATGCATTGCATCGCACGGCAAAACAGTGCGTCACGACGCTGTTTGCTTTTGTGTTTTGGCTGCCCAATTCATATTGGCAGCGGAGCTTAGTCTCCGGGGAACCCTTTTGGTTTGTGAGCCTAGGCCATTTCGGTATACCCTCGATTTTCCTAGGTGACTCTTTTTACCGTTACTTTCGATTTCGAGCCATGTCGATTGTGGACTGCCTCAAATGGCAGACATTCACTGCGGCCCAGGAAGATGTCTGCCACAGAAGTCAAGAGCGGTGTGCCGCGCTATGATGGAGAAGTGATCCGACTGGCTGAGTACCAGTTTAGGGTCAGGCTGCGACAAGCCAGGGAGAAGGTGATGGACGAGCAAGAGTTGAAGAAGCAAGGGCCACTTGCTTTGAGGCTCATTGATGGCCTCAGGGGCCCTGCATTGCAAGTTGCACGTGCCATCCCTGTGGACAAGCTCGTTTCCGAAGACGGCACAAACACGTTGCTCAAAGCCTTGCAGAGCGCACTTCAGCCGAGATCCAAGCAGGAGGCCAGAGACCTGTACCAGATCGGTGCGCAGCAGGGCGGAGTTTTGGCCCGACAGGTTGGAGAAAGCATTCCGTCATTCGTCCTACGACGGAAGGCATGGTACAACATGATGCTGGACATGGATTCCTCTCTCCAACTCCCTGAGGCCATTCTCGCCGAGCAGACCTTGCAGAATGCCGGCATCAGTCACGACCACCAGCTGCTGATCCGTGCGGCCGTGCATGGTGACATCACCATGAACAAGATCTGTGAAGAACTGGTCGCACAGCACAGCCGCATCCATGAGGTCGAGGCTCGCCGCAGCAAGGGGCACTTCAGCCGCTTCAACCACAAAGGATACTCCAGCAAGGGCTATGGCAAGGATCGAGGACGGTCTTCTTGGCACCGTGCATATCATGCCACGCCCAACGAGGAGTACTACGACTGTGAGGACTGGGACAACAACTCCCAGTCGTTGAGTGGATTTGATGAAGTTGAGACCTATGGAGAAGAGCATCAAGCTTATGTCATGGATGAAGAAGACTACCTCCATCAGGTCTACATGAGCATGATCGAAGACGGCCTTGACGAGTATAACACAGAGGCCATGGAGTATGCAGCAGAGATCATGCAAGCAGAGGCAGAAGCCTTCTATGTCCGTGAGAAGGCAGGTCATGGAGGACACAAAGGATTCTCTGGAGGTGGACGTCAATTTCAAGTACATGGACACCTCACGATGGAAGAACGTCGAGCTCGAGTCCAAGCCATGAAGTCTCGTACGACTTGCCGGAAGTGTGGACAATCTGGCCACTGGGCGAATGACCCTCAATGCCCAAAGTCCTACAAGTCCGCCAAGGGCAAGAGCAAGGGTGGATCTCCTTCCTCGACGACATCCACGACTACCAGCTCACCCAAGTCGAGCAAAGGTGGCAAGGGAGGCAAGTCTGACAAGCCCCGCACCGTGTTTTTCACTGTGAACGAGTATCAGCAGACCATCACGGAGGAGGAACACAAGGACTTCGAGGCCAACATGGTGACCAAGGCTGAACAACAAGCACTACAAGATCGTGAGGAGACAGCAGATGAGAAGCTGGACCGACTCATCATGGAGGCACAGATCCGACAGGCCACTCCGACTGTCAGGCATGCCATCGGACCACCAGCTTCGCAGGGACCAGTTCCAAGTCCTGCAACCCCAGGATCATCTTCGGCAAGCCATGCTCTGGCCGAGGATTTCAGTGTCTTGCAGTCTGATGCAAGGAAGGCACATCTGGACACCTTCATGGCCATGATTAATGACCCCAAGGATGCTGAATGGCGTGATGCCTATAATGAGCGATGGTATGAATTCTATCCTGGACATCCGCTCTACACCCAGGAGGATCGTGAACTTCTGCAGAAATGGCGGTGGAAGGCTGAACGTGGACTTCCCCGATTACCAGTTCAGCTCACTACAACCCCTTCGAGCCCTACGGCATCTTCACAAGGGAATGATGATCTGCTGAGGCCCTGTGCACACATGCACACAACCCGCCAAGGATCCAATGCCTATCTCCGTGTCCTGAAGTGCAAGGATTGCAACAAGTACATAGAGTACACCAAGTTGGACAAGCCCCAGAAGATGGAGGTCGATTCTGACAAGAAGACGGGCATCAAGTGTGAGCATGAGGAGAAGGATTGGCGTGGAAGCACCGGCACTACATGGCAATGGAAGTGCAAATCCTGCGGGCACATCGAGAAGGGCAGCAGATCGGATGGCAAGCTGTGGGAAGCCAAGTCGGCAGCAGCAGTGTCTGGAGCTCCGACAACTGGACAGGTTGACAAGGTCCTGGAGCTGTTCTCAATGGCCGTCGGACTTTAGAAGGAGATCGGAGGCGACCTGACTGTTGAGACCATGGACAAGATCTACGAGAAGTGCAAGAACACAGCACTTGGGAAGGCATCCGGCAGCTCTTCGACATTCTCACCACCGACCAGGAGTTCAGAGCCGGTCAACATTGAGAAGCTGCAGGGCACCTACTTCACTTCAGGTGTGCATAAGGGACACTCGTTCAAAGAGATCTATAGCTACGAGAAGAGCTATGTCAAGACCATAACTGCCAAGTACAAGAATGACAACATCAAGGATCGTTGCCTGGTCCAGTTCGCCAAATACTGCATTGCTCGA